GTAAAACTTAAAAAAAAAAAAAAAAAAAAAAGGCCCTGGGCTCAATACCCAGTTTCACTGCTACAAAAAGGATTATTGAGCACCTCCTGTAAGTTAGATCCTAGAGATACGTCCGGGATCAAAATTGGGTGCTCACAGAATTCATCTCAGTAACAGAAATCAAGCAAAAGGGAAAATAATGGAGACTAGGTAGACATTTCTGAGGAGGTGACATTTGATTGGAGCCAAGTGATACAGGGTACAGCCGGTGCAAAGGCCCTGGGACAGGATGGAGCCCAGTGTGGTACAGGAGTGGCAAAGAGCTCGTGTGGCTGGAGCAGAGGGCGTGAAGGGCAGAAAGGGAGGTGGGGGAGAGGACAGGCCAGTGTGCAGGGCCCCGAGGGCTGCAGGAAGCACCTGGGCTTTGGCCCCAGGCAGGTGAGAGTCATGGAGGGCTGAGGGCAGAGGAAGCAGGACCTGACTCGGTGCTCACGGCGCCCTCTAGTGGCTGTCGCGGGCAGGACAGGCTGCAGGATGAGGGTAGAAGTGACCACCAGCCATGGTTGGCCAGGATGCGGGGACTGAGAGCCGCTAACTGGGATGCAGTGGCAGCACGAGGCCCTGACCTCACTCACCCAGCTCGGCATCCGTCATGGGCAGGTGGTTGTCGGCCCAGGCCTCCGACTTGCCCAGCACGGTCTCTGCCCGGCTCAGCACCATCTGCCCCACGCGCGACCCCATGACCGACTGGACGCCGCTGGTCACCGCAGACTTGGTCATGTCCACACCGCTCTGCACAGCCCCGCGGGTCACGTCCACCGCGCCCGCCACACGGGTGGCCACGGAGTCCTTGGCACTGGACACCGTGTGGGACACCACGTCCCGGGCCTCCGACACCTTGGCCGACACGAGCTCTTTGGTGTCCGCCAGGACCTAGGAGACAGGACACCCGCACCTCTGTCCCTGGGCGCCCCCTGCCGCACCCCGAATGGAACATTCCGCCTCCTGGTGCGGCTGTGACCCTGAGGGAGAAGAGCTGCGATTCGGCTTGGGGAAAAGTCCTATTCCCTGCAATGCGCATGCGCGCTCGTGTAAAAACACACACACACACGCACACACGCATGCACACGCACACACGCATGCACACGCACACAAGAATGAGGGCAGGGGGGTTAGCTCAGTGGCTCTGCTGCCTGCCTCGTAAGTGCGAGGACCTGAGTTTGATCCCTGGTCCCCCCAAAAACAAAAAGAATACCCAGGTGCCCAGGCTTGCTGCCCCTAGCTGTGTAGCCTCCAGCAGGTCCCTGTACCTCTCTGTGCCTCCCTGTCCTCCTCTCAGGGGTTAAGGGTGGCGCTGCATCCTCCTAAGGAAGTTGTAAATTGAAGCCCTCACTTCCAGCACAAATGTGGCTGTATTCAGACAGTCTTTAAAGTGGTCATTAAGGTCAAACTAGTTGTGTGTGCCTGAAATCCCAGCACTCTGGGAGGCTGAGACAGGAGGATCTCAGATTCAAGCCTAACCTGAACAGCCATGTGACTTAGTGAGACACTGTCTCAAAATAAAAAATAAAAATAGGCTGGGGAAAAAGCCGGGCGTGGTGGCACATGCCTGTAATCCTAGCACTCGGGAGGCTGAGGCAGGAGGATCGCTGTGAGTTTGAGACCAGCCTGGGCCACACAGTGAGTTCCAGGTCAGTCTCAACTACACAGTTGAGACCCTGTCTCAAAAAACCAAAA